TTAGACCTGCTGGGGCTGAATAGCTTGGAGCGGCTGGTGCTGAATAGCTTGGTGCAGCTGGTGCTGCATAACTTGGAGCCTTGGGTGCCGAGTAACTTGGAGCGGCTGGTGCCGAGTAACTTGGAGCGGCTGGTGCTGAATAGCTTGGAGCGGCTGGTGCCGAGTAACTTGGAGCGGCTGGTGCTGAATAGCTTGGTGCAGCTGGTGCAGCATAGCTTGGAGCCTTGGGTGCCGAGTAACTTGGACCGGCTGGTGCTGAATAGCTTGGAACAGGTGGATAACTTGGAGCAGATGGTGCCGAGTAGCTTTGAGCAGCAGGTGCTGCATTGCTTGCAGCGGCTGGTGCTGAGTAGCTTGAAGCGGCGGGTGCAGAATAACCTTGACGGGCTGGTGCTGAATAAGTTGGAGCAGCCGGTGCAGAATAACTTTGGGCAGCTGGCGCAGAATAGCTCTGAGCAGCAGGCGCTGAATTTGATTGATAGCTTGATCCCGAGCTGTATATAACTGGTGGCCCGTAGGCCTGCTGCGGAATGCCCTGGGATGAGCGCGAGAAGCGTTCGTCTATGCTATTCTCCGGGATGTTGAAGTCCTCCACTTGCTCATTGCTAGCCGCCAGGTGGTCTGATGTAGCCCCTGCCACAAGGCAGATAATGGCCCAAAACGTTAATAGATGCGATCCATACATGATCGTCGCTGTCGATTTGCTAGTTATGATCGACTCAATACGGTTGGCATATTCTTTTATGAGCTCGGAACATCCAAATCAGCAAAAAACCAAAAGACATTACGCAAGGCAAATTGCTATTATTCTGATCCATTTAGCTTGAGGCAAATGCACAACAGTCATTTTATGACTTCTACCTAACTTACATATACATACATATACTGATGTACAAATATGTATGTATGTATGTGTATTCAAATTTATATACCCACATACATACCTATAAACTTTAATTGGTTGTGTATCAGACGCGCAGATACACTTAACTGGAATTGATTAAAGGGAAAAGGTATTGCATTACCATAAGCTAGAAAACCATGACATCAATATATGTATATATATATATATATCTATATATACATCATGTTATAATTGATCAACTTGTATCTTGTGTCTTTTGTAGAGTGTATGGTAAGAATCTATTTTAGCATTTGTCAGCAACTAAAGGTGAGTTATGTGGGTCGCATAATTGTAATGATTGCAAAATTCGCTGATTTAACCGATATATCTGGTATGTAGCATGTTAAATAAATATGCTAACTGTAGATAAAAAGAATGAAGTGTCTTGAAAAAAATGTATATACATATATGTAATTGTAAATTCACTTACGGCGGGAAATTTAAGAACAACTAAATCGAATTAAGCTTTGTCAATGTTATTTAACATTTGTGCGCAATGTTAAAGAGCGCCATCTGTCGGGTTTCACTCCATACTACAAATCAGCTGTCCACATACGTATATCGACAATTTGTATTGAATTATCGAAGTCTGACGTTCACTTCCAAATCAACACGTCAACGATTTCTTCTTCTTCAAAGTTAGCCCCTTAACACCTGAATGTCGGCGGCTAGCGACATTTTTTATTAATTGGCAAGCATTTGTTGAAATAAAACGTTAACCACGGATCACCTATACTCAATCATTTTCGCTGCAGGCGTTTGCCGCAATCAAAGAATAATCAAATAGAAAATCAAAACGTAAGTGCAAGGGGTGGATTTAACAGCTGCTGTCGCTGCTGCTTGCGTTGGCACAAAAAAGAAAAAAAAGGGGAACGAAAATTGAATTGTGCTTCAAATAAGACAAAAGAGGTCATTGCTCCTGTGCCCAACTGACATTAATATATATTTTTAATATATAAGTATCTGTTCTTTCTCTTTTGTATACAGTGAGTCTGCATTATAATGGCCAATCAAAGATTGAGCTCGTCAACAGCCGGCGGCTGCCTTTCGCTCTCAATGCTGTTCGCCTGTCTGTGCATCATGGTATCTCAACTGACCGGCAGCAATGGGGCCGCCGTGATGTCTGTCGATCTCGGCAGCGAGTGGATGAAAGTGGGCGTCGTGTCGCCGGGCGTGCCAATGGAGATCGCTTTGAATCGCGAGTCCAAGCGTAAAACACCGGCCATCATCGCTTTCCGCGATAATACGCGCACCATTGGCGAGGACGCTCAAACGATTGGAATACGCGATCCATCGGCCGCCTATGGGTATCTATTGGATTTGCTGGGCAAAACCATTGATAATCCCATTGTTGATCTGTACAGGTGAGTTGTATATTTACATTTCTCTCTCCCCGTCTCTTTTACACACACAATCTCTCGATGCCGCGTTGTGTCCGAGCATGTGTGGGCCACGTCATGTTAGCAAACTGTAAACGTTTTAAGCTAACAGCTGCTATCGCGCAAATTTTTAAAAATAAATGCTCAAAACTAACATAGAAATGTGGCGATAAGTAATTGGCGGAAAATCGTTATAAATAAGAAATTCGAAATTTCTATAGTAATTTCTCGAAAGTTATTTACATTCGCCAGCTGCGAACAAGAAATAGAGGCGTAAAACAGCTGTACGAAGTGTTAAAACATCTTTTTACTTATAAATAAAAAAAAATATTTGTTTATTTATTCATTGGTCGTTACAGTTAATATAAAATTAAATTTACGCACTGGCTACTGAGGCTTTTTTTTTTTTTTTTTTTTTTTTTTTTTTTTTTTTTAATTTTATATACAGTTAAGGCTATTTTAAAACAGAAATTAAAGAGATATAGCTGTAGGTTAGCTATGGCATGCCTTTCCAGTCCTTTTCTAAGAACTTTGCTTATTTACAGAAAACGCTTTCCATACTATACCATCGTGGGCGACAAGGAGCGCAATACAGTGGTGTTCAAGAAGAGCGACACCGAGGAGTTCAGCGTGGAGGAGCTGGTTGCCCAACTGCTGGTCAAGGCCAAGGAATACGCACAAGAATCGACACAGCAAACGATCACCGAATGTGTGCTAACCGTGCCCGGATACTTTGGCCAGGCCGAGCGAGAGGCTTTGCTGGTTGCTGCCCAATTGGCCAATTTGAAGGTGCTGCAGCTGATCAACGATTATGCGGCCGTAGCGCTCAACTATGGCGTGTTCCATCGTGGAGAGATCAATGAGACGGCACAATATTTCCTGTTCTATGATATGGGCGCCTACAAGACATCCGCTGCGGTGGTCAGCTATCAGTTGGTCAAAGATAAGCAGACCAAGGAGGTTAATCCGGTGGTCCAGGTGCTGGGCGTTGGCTATGATCGATCGCTTGGCGGCCTGGAGATACAGCTGCGCTTGCGCGACTATTTGGCCCAGGAGTTCAATGCCCTGAAGAAGACCAAGACCGATGTCACGCAGAGTCCACGGGCGCTGGCTAAACTGTTCAAGGAGGCGGGTCGCGTGAAGAATGTGCTGTCAGCCAACACAGAACATTATGCGCAGATTGAGAATCTGCTGGAGGATCATGACTTTAAGCTGGTAGTATCGCGCGAGAAGCTAGAAGAGCTCTGCGCTGACCTGTGGCCACGCACCACTAAACCATTGGAGGATGCTCTCGCCACCTCGAACCTGTCGCTGGATGTGATCAATCAGGTGATACTCTTTGGCGGCGGCACGCGTGTGCCACGTGTGCAGGAGACAATCAAGCAGCTGATCAAACAGGAGCTGGGCAAGAATCTGAATGCTGATGAATCGGCCACCATGGGTGCCGTCTACAAGGCCGCCGATCTGTCCACTGGCTTTAAGGTGAAGAAGTTCATCGTTAAGGATGCAGTGATCTTCCCCCTGCAAGTGGCCTTTGAGCGTGATCCAGGCGATGGTGCAGCCGTGAAGCAAGTGAAGCGTGTCCTCTTCGCCCTGATGAATCCGTATCCGCAGAAGAAGGTAATCACCTTTAACAAGCACACGGATGACTTTGAGTTCTATGTGAACTATGGGGATTTGGATCGCTACAGTGCGGAGGATATTGCTGCTCTTGGAAGCCTCAATATCACTCGCGTTGAACTGAAGAAGGTCAAGGATCTGCTGGAGAAGTCGAAGAAGGATCAGGTAGACAATAAGGGCATCAAGGCGTACTTCTATATGGATGATTCTGGCATTTTCCGTTGCACGGGCGTCGAGTACGTTTATGAGAAACAAAAGGTTGACGAGGAGCAGGACGAGGATAGCACATTGGCCAAGCTAGGCAGCACCATCAGCAAACTCTTCACCAAGGAGGCTGAGAAAGCTGAGGGCAACGAAACCCCAACGTCCAATGACCAAGAATCCGGCGAGGAGCCAGCCGAACCCAAGCCTGAGGATGACACTAAGAAGGCCGGAAATGTCAACGACTCGGCTACCACCAAAACTGCAGATGAGAACAAGGCGGAGGCCAAGAATGAAACCATCAAACTGGTCACCATCAAGGCACCCGTGACCCACAAGACAGAGATTAGATTTACCCAGCCTTTAAGTGGCAGCGGTTACAACGACGCCTTGGCCAAGCTGCAGGCTATCAACAAAAAAGAGGAGGAGCGCGTTCGGTTAGAGTCCACATTCAATGCACTCGAATCGCATATCATCGAGGTCCAGCAGAAGCTGGATGAAAAGCCTTATGCGGAGTGTGCCACGGACGCGGAGAAGGAGGAGTTGTTGGCCGAGTGCAGCAAGCTGTCCGAGTGGCTGTACGAGGATGAGGAGAATCGTACGCCCGAAGTCTATGAGGAGAAGTTGAAGCAGCTGAAAAAGCTATCAAGTGTATTCCTCGGTCGTCACTGGGAGCACGAGGAGCGTCCCGATGCGATCAAGTCCTTCAAGGGCATGCTCGAAAGCGCTGAAAAGTTCCTTGTGACGGCACGTAACCTCACCAAGGACACAAATCCCGAGATGGATGTCTTCACCCAGGTGGAGATCGATACACTCGTCAAAGTGATCACAGAGTCAAGCACCTGGCTGAAGACCGAAGTCGCCGCACAGAAGAAGCTCAGCCGAAATGCAGATGTACGGCTAACCGTCCAGGATATGATGAAAAAGATGGCCACGCTGGATCGCGAGGTTCAGTATATGGCCAACAAGATGAAGATTTGGAAACCTAAGGCGAAGGTCGATAAGAAGCCTAAGGAGCCTGCACCTGTTGAAGAGACAGTTGAAGACAGTGGCAGCGGTAGCGGCGACAACACCGACTTTAAAACCGAAGGAGCAGCCAATGACAAAGCTGAGCAGCCAAAGGATCAGAAGGAGGAGGAGCAGGTAACACCCACTCCCACAGGCGACGCTAATACACCTCACAGCGAACTCTAAAGCAAGACTGCATGAAGTGAACAGGAAGAGAACTTGAGAGATAAACCGAGAGAGAGAGAGAGAGAGAGAGAGAGAGGGAGAGCGTGAAGAAGAGAACGCAGTATAAATTCATAATGCGAAAACAGTAACAGGAACGGGGGAAAGTTGTGCGCTTAATGCGTTGGGCTTGACCAGAGGGGAATGGGGAAATAACGGATTAGGGGGACAATTCGTTAGGACCTTTGACGTAGTAAAGCGGAAGTGGAGGGGGCATACGTTGGCTTACGGGTGGGCGGCTCTGGTGTGTAGCCCAATGCATTTTTCGTACAAAATTAGAGAAAAGAATAGATGAAAAAAAAGAGCGTTCAAATTTTTTTTTCATCTTAAATTATTTCGTTCGAACTAGCTAATGGCGGGGTTAAATTATGCTACTTTAAAATTAAATCTATTACTAAAGAAATTTAATGAAGTGTAAAAATTCAATTTTCATTCCGTCGTGCTTTAAGTTCATCATTCTATAAATGCCTGGATATATTATCTAATTAAATAAATACAAAAACACACAAAAAGACTTGAAGTACTCAACTCCCTTTCACACAACATTTATCCAAATTCATGTGCGCCCAGTATCTAAAAATATATAAATAAAAAGTAATATAAAAATAAACACTTTAATTGATGCAGTATTAATTAAAGTTAAAATAACGTAAAGCAAGCTCAAAAATATAAAACAAATAATAATAATAATTAAAAAGAAGTATATTCTAATAAAGTAGTTGTAACTTTTTGTTAACAGAAGTCGAATTTAATAAAATTTTGTTTGAATTTTTGGCCTAACGCCTATGTTATGTACATACATATGTATGAAATATATGTATGAAAAATGTCCATGAAATGCCACCAGCTGATGCTGATGTACCAAATTCCAATGGCCAATATCGATAGCAATTGGTAATAAAGCAACAATGCATTTAGGTAAACATCGATATTTTTAAAAGTTGCGATGTCTCTCGAAATTGCGTCTTCAGAACAATTTCAGTATACTAAATTGCATTAGAAATTCGCTTTATGGGTTTATTTTAATACTTATTATTAGTTTTCTCGAAAAGATCGTATGTAAAATGCGGAATTTTTCCGTATTTTGAACACATTGATGTTTTAATTGCTAAAACGAATCTGGTCACACTTTTAAGCAAGAAATATCGTCAGACGTTCGCGGAAGACGATGTACATAGATTATAACTCCGGAGACATATACACGCCTACGTGATTGCTAAGTTTCGGGAGCATATTGTAGTTAAAGCCATTCAATTCTAGTTTTAAAAAAAAAGTAGTACATGTCTCATATTAAGTGATAGAACTTATAAGACTCTCACAAACTGGACTACAAAACAAGGAGAATAATAACAAATAAAAAAGCTATTCACGTTTATACAAATACATATACAATAACTGCGACACATCAAAAGCCATTTGCCACAAAAAATATGGCGAAGGCGAATTAGTGCAATCGTGCAAAACTTTAAAATACATGCATATATACATAGTTGCAATACGGTATTTTACAGAGGTAATTGTACCTGGCTATTAATATATGAATGTGCATCCATATCGTACCATACATCCATACGAATGTATAGATGAATGTGTTGTAAGATTTCCTGTAATGTTTGGCAGTGTGCTAAGAAAACATGTGTATGCATGTACATAACTATACGTACATACATATGTATTTATTGTACTTGCCAATTGATTTTGTAAAAAAAAATTATTTATTTGAAAACAAGAACTAGTTGGCCATTTCGATAGTACAACAATGTAAATTTGCCTAAATAGTGATGAATACATTTGCTGCAGATGGGGATAGGAAGAAACCGATAGCTAATTTGTTCGTTTTTACATTCAACGTTTACATTTGACTTGCATATGTACATATATACATATGTAATTTCATTCACACACATATTAATGTATGTGTGTTTGTGTATATATATATGTGTGTGTGAGTGTGATAGTGCAGAGTGCGAATTTCCTTTCGATAGCAACGTAAGCGCACCGATAACTTCTTTCGATTGTCATTGTTGCTCTGCTGACTGATTCTGCTGCGGCTGCTTTCGGCACATACATACATACATAATTATGTTTGTGTGTGTGAGTCGCTTGCACGGCGACGGCGCCTGTCTGGCGAAAGTGATTTTTCAGTAAAATTTCGCAGCTTCAAGTCGACGGACGGAGTGGAGTGCAATGCAGCAGGTCGATCGGTCCGGTGGAGCCAAATTGACGATGTCGTAAAGGTGCCAAGCGGGCGTGCGAACGACTCCGTTGCTTTTTATTATTGTGTACGTGTGCGCGTATGTGCTCGTGTGCTGTGCCCTGTGCCTATGTTTATTTATTGTTGGCTTTTCAATTTTCATTCCACTTGCCCATATTGTTATTATTTATTTATATAAACTATTTTCACTTTGTGCATTTAGAACTTAATTTGAACGGGTTCATTGCGTACGTGAGTCTGTGTACTGTCTGCGTGTGTGCGTTTGTATAAATGTGGTGGGTCTCTGTGTGTGTGTTTGGTATACGCAAACAAAGGAGCTCTACGTTTTCACCTCCTCTTACTCTTTTCTCTGTTTTCAATGTATAAAAAGAAGGATAAGGTAGATTGAATAAAACAAAGTGCAGCAGCATAGCGGCGACAGCGACAGTTACAGCCACAGCAGCAAGGCAACAGTAAAGTCAATTAGTTGCATTAGTGCTTGCATGCATACGTCTTAATGTGCATAAGTGCGTGTCTGCACAATAGAAAACATTAAAAATTATTGTAGTCCATTGCCGCTTCGTTGATATGCTCCAATGTACATGTCAACATTTATGTATATGTTTTTAAATTAACATGTGTGTGCAAGTGTGCGTGTATTTGTGCGGTTTTACATTGAACTGTCTTCAGCCCGTCAGTCCAGCAGCTGGGCAGGCAAAGCCGAATTTGAGCGCTCTCCTCGCGCTCTCTGTTTCTCTCTCTCTCCCTCTCTTACAGCTGCCCATATTCCGCATGAGAGTAAGCTTGAAGCCGTGCACAGTAGCGCCAGAGGCGCCAAAAAATGAAAGCATCGCATTTGAATTGTTATCGCACACAGGCATTGGCATATGTGTTGGTATACTGAGACTTTGGCATGGAGAAAATCACTTTCATTCTACTATGCGCTGTCGCAGCTGTTCTGCACTGCAGAATTTACAGGCTTCTTTTTTTTTTTTTTGCACCCGCTTACGTAGAGAGGCGATTGGCTCAAATTTAAACTGTAAACGAAACACTTTGGACTCTCCATTTTGATTCCTGATCGAGTGCAAATAATTATAAAATAAAAGAAATGAACAATTACATGAATGCAAAATGTGTTAGGTCAAGTATTCAAATTAAATGAAGTGAAGTGGAAGGAAGCAAACAAAATTGATTTGACAAACAAAGCTTAAAATTTTCTCAATCTTTTATCGTATTTGTGTGCATGTATGTATATACATATATGTATATATATATATATAAATGAATTTATGTGTATTTATAAGCTGACGTAGCAAGCTAGACACAAAGTAGCAATCATGGTAAAAGTTTTGTTTAGTTTTTATTATTACTATTATGTATCGCAGTTTGTCTTTGCAAGTAGAAGTAGAAGTAAAGTTTTTTTTATTATTTTATTTTGGCGTGAGTGCTTTAGTGTGATTTAATTATTGTAATGATTGCAAGTGAAACACGTGCTCATAATGTTGTTTCTGAATACGCAGAGTGCAGAAGCCGTAAATCAAGGACCCCCAACAGAAAGCAATAGAGGAGGACATTGCTGAAAGTCAACGAAACGACGCCACAAAGTGAAAGACCGCAAGGAGTGGGAGTGGGAGAGGGAGACGAAGAGCGAGAGCGAAAGCGTCGCGTCAAAAGTTGAGCGCATGCTGTGTAGGGGGCGGCGCAGAAGACGAGTCAAGTGAAGTGCAAGAAGCAACAACAAAATTACAATAATATTAATAAAAACAATAACAAACCAGGTAACAATAAAAAGAAAAAAAAAAAAATAAAATAACACCAATACTAGCATCAAATATATGTAAAGCGAACGCGTGCGTGGGTAGCCGATGCCAATAACGAATATGTTGATAAATTTGCCTTACCCTGCTGATGCTGCTGTTTCACTAACAGTATAATATCAACTACCTCCAACAAAATTAATGAAAATAGGACTCCAACAGAGGGATAAAAGAGAGAGCGATAACAGCAGCCTTGCTAGCTTTAAACAATACAAAAAAAATAGCATTTTACAGCTAGACACGAGCGCCACCTATCGTCGACCGTACGCACAATATGACAGAGAGAAAGAGAGTCTGAGCAAAGGGACCCAAAACGTCACAAAAGCAAAAAATATAACTAAAAGAAGTAAATACAAAACAACAAATTACGAAGTACATGAGAAGAAAATTATATTAAAAATAAAAACAAAGTGCATCTAGACATTCAGCTCAGACGCTTGCATTGTATAAGTGCATGTGTATCTCCGCGTGTGTGTTCGTTACCGTGCCAGCGTTTATGTTGAAGTAGTGGTAGTTTGTGGTGCTGTTATCTGCTCCCCTACTACACAGCCACCCACATACATACACACAAACACACACACACACACACGCACACGGCAACTCGGGCTCCGGTGGGAGGCGAATCCGTGACTGACTGGCTGTCACGTTGCCTTGCCCGCCAATATGGCGTGCCTTAACACACTGAAGCAAGAAATCAAAACACTGGAGAAAATCTTTCCGAAGAACCACGACCGCTTTCAGATACTCAATTCCAGCGTAGATGAGCTCCTCTGCAGATTCATCGATAAGAATGGCAAGCGCTACGACATACATGCAAACATAACGGTAAGTAAAACTATATATGTATGTAAATATTTATCAAGAAATGCGCAGTTAAAGTAATCATAATGTGCACATAGCGACAATGTACATATATTAGATACATATATCAAGTAAATACGATTGCTACTTGATTAATTGACACGCATATCTTCAATTTGTTCTCATGCGGTGTCCAATGTAAGCTTTATTTGATCCCCAATACAGTTGTTGCCAGGCACAAATCAGCAAATGCTTTCTATTACAGTCTGTTTGTGTGAAAATTCGTATAAAAGTAATTACAAATTAAACATGATTCTAATTACAAATAAACATCTATGAAAATTGTAAACACTGATCAAATGGCTTCACAGCTCAATCAAATTGACGAAGGTCACCTTGCTCTTCTTTCCTTTGCACCGCTAGAATTTCCAGCCAGAGAACGAGAGAGAGCGAGAGAGAGAGAGAGAACAAAAAACTTCTTGCTGCTTTGCAACTTTTACAGTAGAATTCCATTGGTTTATCCTATCTATAGGCTGCCCCTACCTACAGGTACTCCCGCTCTCTTTCTCTTTCTCTTTCTCTCTTTGCCTTGCTCATCCTCCACTTCCTTTTATTCCTGCAGTTTTTTGCTCTCCCAGCTTTGCTGCTGCGAAAATTTGTCTTCATCATCTCTTTTGATCATGCTTTTCGTTTACATATTTTCGTTTCTCTACTCCAAGGCAAAAGGGTATCAACGTATTGTCACAAAATATGTAACATATGGCAGGATTTTCTTGTTTTTTGCCCAAGTTCAGTGTGAGAATTAAAGTATAACGGAATAGAGTAGAGATTTGCTAAATAGTAATTTATAATACAAATCCATAAAGTCTTGAAATATCTATTAGAATGTATCTCATTTACTAAAGGGTATTGACTCTTCTAGTTATGTACTTCATATTGTATTTTTTTTTGCTTTCTTCAGTTTACCTTTCGTAAAGTTGCTCTCACACGCTGTTTTATCGTGCCGTTGTCGATTCTTATTTAGGGGCAGCGTGCTTCAATAATTTATGATTCATTGCCCTGCGCCTCCAACAACAGTTGCCAACTTGCCAACAGTTCGCCTCGGCCATATCGTCCCTCGCCCTCATCGCTCTGCTCGCTTCTGTCTGTTCTCCTCGCATCTCCTCCCTTTCCAGTCATCTGCCCTCCGCTCCTCTCTGCAGTGCTTTGCTCTGCTCTGCTCAGCTTCGACTCTGCTTTGGTTCAACGATCTAATTAAAGGTTATATATGTAATTTCATTGACGCTGTCTCGCAGCTTTTGTTATAGTCTCCACATTCAGAAATATATATAATATACACATTATTTATATATATATACATACATACAGGTATTATCTGGCTGTTTAGCCAACTGTTTATGTCTGTTAGGCTATCAGTAAATTGAGCAATATTTTCAATATTTCCTTGAATGATAATAAAAAAGGAATGGGAACTTTGAAGCTTTGTGGTGTTAAAGCTATTAACTTGACTGATTAATCAGTATTGCCAACAAATCTAAATCGAATAACAGCTTTGAAATGTTATTAATATATTTATGTAAATAAAATTGCGAAACTTGAATATCTCGATTAGTCATTCACACAAAATAGCTGTATAGCAAAGAAGAAGTTATTTATAGGACAACTCTCAACTGGTATTAGTTTAGGGAGGCAATTGAGAGTACAGTAGAACTGCCTTAAGCCGAATCACACAAATGCAATGCAAACTGGACAAACATCTATGTAGATTGAGGATTATATAAAGGCAACATACATACATATATAATATCACGCGCTTATGTGTATATATGCATATATTTATCGATATTTGTTTTGATTGGATTCCTTTGTTTTTTTCTCATCATCAGGAAACGTATCCATCATCGCCGCCAGTTTGGTTCGCTGAGAGCGAAGAGACGAGCGTCACGAACGCCGTGCAAATCCTTAGCAACACAAATGGTCGCGATAATCATGTGATTAATCAGGTAAGTTACCATGTCTCTCCCTCTCCCTCTCCCGCTCTCTATTTTCTCTGTGAAATCGTGCATTAATCAGTGATTATGTATGTGCGTCAGGTTGGCATATTGCTGCGCGAGCTGTGCCGTTTACACAATGTTCCACTGCCACCCGATATTGATAATTTAACGCTGCCGCTGCAAACGCCGCCGCCCTCTGCCTCGCCATTACGCTTGGAGCGTTCAGCTGGTGGTGGGGGTGTTGGTGGCGGCGTTGGCGGTGGAGCGGGCCCACATGGCAACGAGGAGACTGATTCGGATCAGGACGAAATCGAGGATCCCATCGGTGAGAGCGAGCAGGAGAGCGAGGGCGATGAGGATCTACCATTGGAAATGGATGATGTGCGAAACACAAATAAAGTACGTCAACGAATAAACAATAAACATTGTTGTTATTATTATTATTAATAATGACATCTCCTCAAGCAGAAAGATGATATGGAGGTGGAACATTTAGCGACTTTAGAAAGACTGCGTCAAAGTCAAAGACAAGACTATTTAAAAGTGCGTACATGTATACATATATATATATACAAGAAAAGTATATAACTGTCTCCCTCTCTCTCTTTCTTCCCCTTTATATCGCCATTTCTTTCTAATCGATGCAGGGTTCAGTTTCTGGTTCAGTGCAGGCAACAGATCGCCTGATGAAAGAACTACGTGATATTTATCGATCCGATGCGTTCAAGAATAACATGTACTCCATTGAGCTCGTCAACGATTCGATTTATGAGTGGAATATACGCCTCAAGTCTGTCGATCCGGATAGTCCATTGCACAGCGATCTGCTGCAGCTGAAAGAGAAGGAGGGCAAAGATAGCATATTGCTCAACATACTGTTCAAGGAGACGTATCCGTTCGAGCCGCCCTTTGTTCGTGTCGTGCATCCAATCATCTCAGGTGCCTTGATTACCTAACCAATTGATTGCCACAGTTACAAAAATGATTCTAATGCTTCTATCGTTTCTCCATCAGGTGGCTATGTGCTCATTGGTGGCGCTATTTGCATGGAGCTGCTGACCAAGCAAGGCTGGAGTTCCGCCTACACAGTCGAAGCCGTGATCATGCAAATTGCCGCGACGCTGGTCAAGGGCAAAGCGCGCATACAATTCGGTGCTACAAAGGTGCGCAATATTAAGCAGACATTAACGAGCTTATAAAGAATATGCTTTTCCTTTTATTTTTATCCAAAGCAGGCGCTAACCCAGGGACAATACAGCTTAGCAAGGGCTCAACAGAGCTTCAAATCCTTAGTGCAGATTCACGAGAAAAATGGTAAATCGAAACAAATTTAGAACTCAAATTGTAATCGGATTGTCCTAATTGCTTGTTGTTGTCATTGACAGGTTGGTTTACGCCGCCGAAGGAGGATGGCTAAGATTTATTGTTGCTTAGGTGTTTGTATAAGCTTAAGGAATGGACGTTTGCCAAATGTCGTCGCTCATCCATATACATATATATTTATATATACATATATATATATAAATATTTATTTATATATATACGCAAACTAACAAAAAACAAAACAAAAAACCTACCCTGAAAACTACCAGACACATGCGGCTAGATAAGCCACATACAGAGCGTATCAGTAGAAGAAGCGAAGGCCAGAACAGCAGCACAAGCAGCTGCAGTAGTCGTAGCTGCAGCATTATCATTTCAAATCGAACCCGCCATTCAAACATTATTTAAACACAGGACGTAGCGTTGTCCGAAATAAGTTCTGCAATTTGTGTATACTTGATGAAAAGGAAAACAGCAAATATTTGCATATATACATAAATATATATAAATTCACATATATATATATATATATATATATATATATATATGCTGTGACATACGTAGTGCATGCGTCGTTATATACACATACACACACACACACACACATACATTGAAGCTAATTGATGTAAGGGTGTTGCGGTGCATGTGGATATGTATCGCATATCGTATTGAATGCAATTGTTTATATTCTCTTTTCTTCTTTTTTTTTCGTTTCAACTTGTTTTGTATTATCAGCAGCGTTTAATTTGTCATTCTGTCTGTCTCTCGTCTCTTGATAATTTATGTATAGTAGGAAAAAAGTCAAATGATTGAAATCATATTATTCTTCTCAAAATCTATGTTATCTGTAAGAGATATTTTGTTACATTTTTTTTTATAAAAATCCTCTCGTTCAAAAAAATTTATTAAGAATTACATTGCTTCGAATATATATAAAAAGAAAACCCAGATTAAATAAATAAATAATATATTTATATTTGTAAACGATAAAATTGTACAGTTAGCAGCAATAATTAACAATTAACGATTATGATAATGATAACAACAACAACAGCAACGTCAACATCAACAACAATTGCAACAGCAGCAACAATAGCCGCGTGTAAATGTAAAGGCAATTTATGCATATGTATATGTAATGTAGGTGTACCCATTTAACGCGGATCGAAAGTGTAAGCTCTATGTGACCTGGTATTTGATCACCATGGGACACTGGATGGATGAGTAGTGGAAGGACCGTGCGGCAGCAGCAGCGGAAGGATGGAGGGACAAGGCATACAAAACACACACCTGCATATACCTAGTTGTAATTAGCTAAGTACCGTAATATACTAATATTTTTTTTAGTTATTAATATTGTAACCTTATATATTTCGCACTAGCTTTAAGGGATTGCGATTGCGGATGTAGTTATAGTGCATAAACATATATATATCTATATATAAATATATGTATATGTATATGCTAATATATAAATAAATATACATATGTGTAGCATATACAACTAGAGGAGTTAATAAGGACAGAGAAGTAAACGAAAAGTCGTAAGCAAAACAAAAACAGCAACAACAAAACACCACAAGCGTAAGCAAATTCTAACTGTAAATTCGTCTTTCCAAATAACCGTAAACAAAAAGCAACAAATACAAAATAAAAACAGCCCAATAAAAATAAACTGCGAAAGAAAAACAATAAAATTACATAGAATATTCATTGGAAATAATGAAGTTACAACCAAACTATTAAACGCAATGACCATAAACGAGGGTGGCTTAAAAACTTTCCGAGTTAACACAAGAAGATATATATATACATATAATAATATTGAAATACAAAAACCACAAGAAATTCCAATAACATTAATCTTTTTATTTTTCTATGTTCACATTGAGGAATTCAAATTATCCGATCGATCCGAATTTTGAATACATTTTCACTTTAGGCTTGACTAACAAA